GCTCTCCGGAAGGGTTTATAACTCATGTCACTGTTTGACATGTTTGCCTCCGCGACCCAAAAGGAAAAGCTGTCACGGAAGATGAAGATGAAGCCTCTTTGATTCGTCTATTCAGTCAATTTCTTTCTTTACTGATGCCTATGAAATGTGGTCACTGGGTATGTGGCTTTTCTCTGTTGTGTATTGCTAGATCCGCGAGTGTCTTCGAATTGTTCTATGACCGTTTTAGAAGCGATGGTTTGTTTTCTTCCTAGACGCTTTGTTGCAGTATGGGCGAAAAGCACAGGTTTGGCTACAAGCGTCACAACAGCTTCCGACACATACCCAACTGCGCAAATCAATCCGGAGTGCCATTAAGAAGGCTCATGGGAGACGAGCCAGAAATGTTAGTCGTCACTCGACTGACCAACTTCTTTGCTTACATTGTGCATAAATAAACCGTTTTCATACCTTTTCATTTTCAGTATAATCACCAACGCACGAACAAAATATTCCATCTTCGAAAAACCACATCCGGAATATCTTCATAAGAGGCACATTAAGTCTAGCACTAATTTCAGGAAAGCTTAACAAAAGTAGGTTCCGTTGGTTCGGCCATGTGAAAAGATGATTAAGTGAATACGTTGGAAATATGGTCCATGCTGGAGATAATGTCAGGGAAGAAAAGAAGGGGAGTTTAAACAAGAAAGGGAGCAACGTCGTACAGAACTGTATGAAAATGGCGAAGTGGTCGAAGAACTGAGCACAGGCTGAAAATTGTGCAAGCAGCTGACTCAGACAGCAGAGTTCCTAAAGGAAGTATGCTAGGAAAAAAGATGGAATTTTAGGAATGTCATTTTTTAATACACGACAAGATTATAAACATCCTAAATTATTCCTCCCCTAAAATAGCGGCGTGTCATACATTAAGACTGCACTGAGAAAAAGAAAAAAGGAAATGGAAAATTTGGTTCATGTGTTGGTAGGCCTTTTGGCTTCAAAAAAATCAGATGATGCAAGCAACAACAGGCACCATACTTCGTGAAATGACTTTGCTCGAATCCGTAAGATACCGTCTGAAATGTTAAATATGAATTTTCATACCATGCACCATTATATTCCATTAAATATCATTAAACCATTTCGTGCTGTTATTTAGTAATTGCATTTAAGAAGTGAACTGAAGTTGAACTTCAAGATCTTTACACACACATGCAAACTTGTACTCCTAAATCTAACCTTTCATTTTTACATTTAAATTGTGTATATGCGGAACCTTATCTAGGAGCCATGGTTAGATATCAGGTGGATAAAGGCCTTCTTGATTTGTAACCGCTTAAAGCATATGTATCGAATAATACGTAGGTTTCGCAAGAGGTGGAAAGATTAAAGGACAACGCTGTACTGTCAACGACTTTCCTACAATATGCTTCCCAATTGGGGCAATTGGTCATGACATTCTCAGGTGTCAAGAACATTGTGTTAACGAACTGCGGCCTCGATCGAGTTAAATTCCTCAAAAGTCGGCGGGTCTGTTTCAGCCATCATTC